AATAATTTGTGTGAAACGTATTTTTTGATACAAAAGAAATTATTTTGCTAAAGAAGAAATAAATTTTGAATATAAGCAAAGAAAATTTGTTTACATTTTTTAAATGTCCCTATTTTGACCTTTTGACATGATAAAGCCGTCTAAATTATTTCAGCAAAACAAATGTAAATTTTAAATGATCTAAATTATATAATTTTATACGCAAATAGTTTATGCATCGGTTGTAGTAAAATGTGAAAAAATTAGTAATGATGCATATAAAAGCCGATAATTTATTTGCTAAAGTTAAATTTACTTTTAAATTTATCACTGATAATCTTACTGGGAAAAAAAGGTGATATCATTGATAATTGAATAAATGAATGAATTTTACTAATTAATCGGAAAAGAATAATTGAATTTGAACTTAAAATTATTGAATGTTTTCAAGGAATAATTAATAATGATGTTAACAAGGAATAATTAAAAAAATAACGAATTTTTTTTTTATCTAATATATCAAATTACTCATTATCCTAATTTTATTCTCTATAACAATATTTTAATCACAAAATTGACGACTACTTACTTAAAAAAAAAAAAAAAAAACTCATCCATTCATGGTTTGAAATGCATCCTTTTTAAGAATTTTAAATTCATGGTTTGAAATGCATCCTTTTTAAGAATTTTAAATTTTAATAAAAGTTAAATTTCAAGCAACAATTTAGCATTTTGTAAACAACATTTAGAGTGACATGTATGCATTGCAAATAAGAAACTTTGACAAATTTTAAGTACACAGCAATCATACAAGTCGTAAACTTTTTATCAAAAAATTCGTCATCTAAGATTTTAAATGAATGACAACATCGATGCTTAAGTAAACATTTTAGTGAACTGAGAAAATACAATTTATTATTGAAATAAATGAATGATTAAATTTGATAAAGCAAATAATATAAGATAAGGTTTGAAATAAGTACATAATATAGGCTCAACGTGTTGTCATAATCAATTTAATAATCATTTATCTATAACTTATCATTTTAAAAAACGAAATGTTCAATTAAATTCAAATGTTACTCTCTAATTATTCTATTATTTTTGTTAAAATTTCATGTGAATCAGAATGAAAATTTTCTATTTATTTTTTAAAAAGTATTTACTGTTATTTATTATTACTGTTATTATTATTATTGATAGTAATGATTGCAGCTTTTTTTTTTTTTTTTTAAATTTATCATTTTTTTTTGAAAAACGTATTGATATGAATGCAACTGTTCCATTATAATAATCATTTCCTTTCCTTATTTTTTTTTTAAACAATAAAGTTGAGTTGCCAATTGCCTTCACATTGCCATTTATATTTAAATGTTGTTTACACAAACAATTGTCTCATATTTATTTGAAAACTTTTTATTATCAATGTTTTTAATAGTAATGATAATTGGAAGGAAAATTTTTATTTGAAATAATAGAAGAAAATATCAAACTAACAAACTTAACAAAATTTTGAAATATTAAAGCGAAAATTTTAAAATGCCATAATTTTTGATGAATGCAATGAGAATTTTATTAAATGGCAATTTTTAACGTTTTCAAGCAAATTTGCATTTATGGTTTGAAGTAATACTAAATGAATGAAAATGGTTGGAAGCAAAAAAAAAAAAAAAAGAGAAAAAAATATATAAATGCTAACATTGGTGAAATTAGAATGAAAAAAAAAAAAAGAACGAAAAACTGATTTTTTTTAGTATTTTAGTAATGAAAGATAGCTTATAAATAGTCTATAAGTAGTCGTAAATATGTTAATTACAAAAAATTTAATCAAAAATTTATTACTTTGATGACTAGCAGTAAAAATTTCATGTTAATCACTTAAATTTCTTCCTTTTTCCTCCTATTTTGATTAAAATATGAAATTTTAAAAATTGATCAAAATATGTTTCAAAAAAAAAAGGAAAAAGAAAGAAATACTCTCCATTTCATTTTTTTTTTAGCTTTTCTTCTTTTTAAATGTTATTACTTTGAAATTACATTTTTATTTCGTATAAATTTTAAAATGCAATTAATGATAGCTCAAAAAAAAAAATTAATAAATAATATTTTTTAGAATAAATTTAAAAATAGATGTATTAAAACTTCTGCGAATTTATCATCTTACAGTTATCAAAGCATTCTTCTTAAATCAACGAATTATTCAAATGTAAGAAATTCTTCACAACATTTGAAATGTACAACTCATTCAGTCACAAAAATATTTAAATTTATGACTAATTCTCAAACTGCTTAATTTAATCTAACAAAAAAATTTTGCGCAATTTATTTATTTATTTATTTTTTGAAGATTATCAGAAGTAATTGGTGAAATTTTATGAATTTTGTAAAAATTTATTATAAATTTTTAACTTTCGAAAGATCATAAAATGTTAAGTTTATTTGTTTCTGTTAAAAATCTTTTCAAAATATTTTAAAAGGCCAAAGAATGTTAAATATAGATGAGTTCGCTTCAATTAAAAGTTTTTTCAAAGTATTTTTGTGATTGTTGTAAGAAATTTTTGGAAGCAACATAAATTTTTGACTTTAAATTTTGTATCATTTTAGAAAATTTTCCTTTTCAAACTTCAAACTTTATTATTTAAAATTATGTAGTTTAAATTATGTTTTTTTAAATAGTTTTGCTCCAGAGTTATAAAAAAATTTTTCAAAATTTTTGACAAAAAGAAAATTCATCGATTTATTGGCTAAAAAGTGATTTTATAGACAGAAATTTAAGTAAATTTCATTTGGATTTTCAAATGAATAATGAAATTAATTTTATCAACAAAATTCACATTGCTTTGTTATCATTTCACAACTTCTATTTAGCTTATAAACTAATTTTAGAAAGTCATTCATTAGAAAATAATTTCATGTTTTTCTTTTTTTTTTTTTTTTTTGCTTCATAATTTTTAGTATTTATTTTAGCACTCATTAAGGAAATATTCAAAGTAATTCACTTTCAGTTGTTTTTATCAACTAATCATGACAAATAATTAATGTTATTGCAATAAAGTTAAAGTAAATTAACTGATTTTTTTTTTTTAAAGAAAATTCTATCCTATCGTATTATTTGGTTGCTATGGATTATTTTAAAAAATAAAAGATTTTGATGATTACTGATAAAGAGGAAAAAAATATTTCTAATGATATATTTTAAAAAAGCAAAGATTAAAAGTTTTTTTTTTTTTTTAAATATGACCAAAAAACGCCAAAAATTTTGATATAACTAAGAAAATAACAAAAATTGAAGTTTTCATTTTATTCGAATGAATAATCTTATATTGATTATTGGAAAAGAATGTCTGAAAATCGAAACTTTTTTTAACAAATTATTTATAAGGAAATATTGCAATCGTTAACGCATCATAAAATTAAATTGCTGTAAAAAAAAATTTTTTTTTGGACACTCAAAATTCTATGTTAAAATTTTATGCGTAAAATTTTACTAAATTTTATACCTAAAATTTTATACTTCTTTTTCATATCCAAAAATATAATATCAAAAATTCAAAAAAATATAATATTCCTTCTTTAAAAGATTTCATATCCAAAAAAATATAATATAATTCCTTCTTTAAAAGATTTTTTTTTGAAAATTTCCGTAACTAATTATTCTTTTGCTTTATGAAATATAAATAATCAAAATATTTGTATAATTTAATATTTCAGTACGCATCTTTTGAAAGTCCTTTTTTCTCAGAAATTTTTTTATTAATAAAATAGCTAATTTAACTATTCCCATCATTTAATTATTATTTGTATTATTATTTGATATAACTATAACTATATATTAGGGTAAGCTTTCGTCAAATTATTCAAGCATTTTTTAATTTCAAACATTTTCGAAATGATTCATACTGAATTAATTCCTCCTAGCTTTAATTAATTCCTTCTAGAAAAGACATACATAATAGAATTGCATCAGTTTATTTCATTCTTAAAAGAAAAAAAAAAATCTTTTATTATATCATTCATTCAGATTAATTCAACCATTTCGTAAACCATCAATGATTGCAATTTTTTTTTAAATATAAAAATTATTACTCTACTAAAACTCTAATAAGTCGAAAAATTCTTTTTTAATAGCATTTCTCTAGCATTCAATGCCTTTAACTTATCTTTTATACCACTATCAATTATCATTAAAACTTCCTGCATGTACAGACACTTATTTTCATCTCAAGATATCCCATTAATAATTTCAAGTACTATTAAATTTCATTTATATTTTATCAATAATACTTTGCAATAATGCCAATTCAGGAAAAAAAGAAGGAAATTAAAATATTCGATCATCGATAAAATAAAAATAGTAAAAGTACAAAAGTTCGAATCGACAGGTCAAAATGGATAGATTCGAAACTGATTTAATTCGCATCTCGTAACAGTGAGTATTGAATTCATACTGTTTCACCTTGAATGAATGTATAGAAAGTAATTGAGTTTTTATTATTTGAACACTCATCTAATTATAACAAATCGCTATAAAAACAGCAAACTGAAATGGAATTAAATCTAAAGCAAAAGGAAAAATTACAAATCAGTGCAATGAATTACAAATTTCTTATACTGACATATATATATATAAAAGAGATGACTATGGAGACCAGTGGATAGTTTGCATTAGAAGTGAAACTATTCAAACACAGCAAGACGTATTTTATCGATACCAGTAACAGTGAAACTTTTAAAAGAGCAAAGGGTATAATGAATGTGATGAATAAATATTTAATATTGGAATACAGAATTCAAATAAAATACGTCTAAGATACAAACACACTAGTAATTAATACTTAAAAATTAATGAAAAACTAATATTAACTAATATCCAAAAAAAAAAAGAAAAAACTAATATCTAACCTAGGCAAACAAATTAATAATCCCTTAATACGAAACACTCTAGCGCCACTGCATTCTAATCAGCTATAGCAATTAGTTTTGAATGGATTTAAATCGTTCCGTATGCGCTAATGACAGTTTTATTCTGAATCGGTTTCCTTTTCTACATTTTTTCTGAGAAAGATATCTTCGTTGGCATCAATTTTGTCGAATAAATCAGATAAAACGTTGTTGAAAACATCTTTTTGGTCAACGTAAACGTAATGTCCAGCACCATTTATAACCTTCAATTCAGAATATATAATATTCATTCATTCTTGTATATGTGTTCTATGAGAATTCAAAAAAAAAAAACTTAAATTTTAACTAGAATTTTCGATCCAAAGTTTCAAAATAATAAAAGTCACACAGAAAGTGGATAGTATAAACAGAATTATGCAAACTCAAAAAGGATTACTATCTTAAGATGAAAGATTAAAATATGTATGCATCTTCAAGAAAAAAATTCTTAAAAGACTCTTAAAAATGTCTTAAAAGAAATCCTTCACATTTAAATTAAAGAAACTTCTTTCATAAATTTTGAGAATTTAATCAAACCTGAACATCAACATAAGCATTTTGCCTCTCATTTTGCACTACAATACCCGAAGATGAATCGATCCAACTTTTATTTCCATAGATGAATGTCATCGGTACTTCAGGTGGTAGATTGATTATTCTAAAAAACATAATAATAGATTATTATTACTCGATGATAAAATAAATACGGTTAAGCTCTAAAAAAATCAGATAAAGAAAATAAAGAAAATGAAAAAACAAGCAAACGACTCAGTAAGTTTGAATATTTATAAAATGAAGCCAAGTCTGCAACAAATGAGGCAATCTATTAACCTTTTAAGCATTGGTCTTTTAGCCCAGCCAAACGAAAAGCTCATATTAGTGAACGCAACTTCGCCGGAAGGGTTTTGGGCATTGCACTGATAGAAGTAATCATAAATGGCATTTGGATCAGTACATCGAAAACGAAGACTTAAATCAGGTCGCACAGCTTTAATAATTGAAACACCTGCAAACCAATTTTCTCGCATTTTTATTTTTTGGAACATCAATTTCTACTATAACTCAAAGTGTATCAGAAAAAACAAAACCTACCATAGGGTCCTGCCCAACGTAAAGCTGTTAAAGGATAAAAAAATGACATCGCCCGCGAAGCAATTCTAATCCAAATGGGATAATTTTGCTGAAACTCTATTATATAATAAATATATAATAAATGGCTAATATATTTTTTAACGATTTTCTCTAATAACTTAATAGAAATTTTTCCAGTATTAATGAATATCCTACGAATATATTTAAGAAAAAATTATAAACTAAGAACTTACTTGGTGTGAAACTTCAGCAGGTTTTTCCGGAAATCCCCACGGATCCACCAAAACTAGATGTCTAACACGTTCTGGATACTCTAGCGCAAAAGATGCTGCCAAAAATGCTCCTAAACTGATAAATGAGTTTAAATTAAATTACCAAATCAGATAAAATGAAATGGCAATTTAAAACAAAACAAGAACAAGAATGTTGTTCACCTATAAGATTATAGGCATCTAAAGAATCAATCCTCAGTTAAATAATTATACAAATTTTCTTAGAAATACAATCTGTATGAGAATACAAATATAAAATTAATTTTCTGGTTTCAAGCTATTATTTCAAATATGAATAAATCCTAACCAAAAGAATGGCCTACTAAAATCATTTTGTTAATTCCCATTCTCTTTCTCCAATTTTCAATTGACTGAACAAACTGCAATTCGGCCAGTACTGGATCTTTGGCAAATACAGGGCGCGATGAACGCCCAAAACCTATAAATTAACAAAGCATTCAGGATAGTAAAAAGATACGGAATTTCATCCATTCCCATGGAAATAATGAAGCTAAATTTTAAATGCTAATTGAAGAATTTTTAACAAAAAATACACCACTAATAATATCAGATACCTAATAAATCGAAACAATGAAGTATCCGTTTTTTGGCCATATCATCAATATTAGCAGCCCATAAAGCTACTCCACCAGCAAATCCATGAATAAGAACTGTTGGGATTCGAGCATGCGAAGATGTAGGCGTTTCTGCGGTCACCGTATATATCTGACCCATTTCTACCTGAAATCAGGAATTGTTAAACATGACAAAACAAATATCGGTAAGTCAACTATCAAACATGAAAACAGGCATTCTAAAAAATCCAGAAATAATAAAACTGGATTCCAGAGACAAGCAACTCAGTTAGACATAAAAACAACCCTGATTTAAGTAATTTTTATTTATTAAAATTTATTAAAACGAAAAATTTCTACCAGTGATAAAGAGGAAAAAAATGCAAGAAAAAACAATATAAAATTTTGAAATCTATAAATACAAAGATACCGGTATAAACTGTGATGTAATCTTGGCTCGAACACTGGAAAATAGAAGCGACTCTCCTGCCGCCAGTGCTTCCACAGTAAACTGACTCCATCGCCACCTTTTTCTTAATTTAATCCACATGTTTAATCAAGAAAAAACATATTATCGAGTGTTCAAAACAAAATTTACAAAGAACTTTTATTGACAGCCTCACGTTACTATTCCAGATATTACACATATAATATCGGTCGATAATCAATTGCTAAATTCAAATTTTACTGATTATAAAAGAACAATCTAAAAAATGCTTTGCTGCAGCCCAAGCAGAATAAACAAAAACTTGAAATCCAAATTTCCAGACCCGTACCGTTGCATCAAGCTATGTTACTACCTTATGTAAGACTGACTGTGACCTTGTGAACATACTTTGTACGCGCCCCTAGAAAGTACGGTTGATAATTTTGTGTGAACGTGCGCATAAGTCTATATTGCTTTGCCTCTAAAATTTTTTTCAAAACATTCAAAAAAATAGGCATGGGATATTAAAACTAATCAAATAAGAATAGAACTGAAGCATTAGAAATGAAATTACGTATTTCACATTAATCGACTTGAAATGATTTATTTTATATTTATTAAACTAAACAACGCTAATCAACGCTTATTTATTTCAAATAATTAATCAATATCAGCAGTCAAGTTTTAAATGGATTTAAGTTTTAAATAGATTTAATAACACTAATAATTATTCTTTTTCCGTAATTTACTTTTGCTGGTATTGAGGAGCACCATTGGTTCCCGGAACATCATCAGTTTGTCTCATCTTGCAGCTTTCTTTACTAAAATTTAGCATGAATTTCACTAATTAAAATTGGTATTACAATAATCAACGAATTGTAATTCAACCGAAAAACGTTTAACATGCCCTAAAATTAGAAAATTAAGATAGCTAAATGCTGATGCAAATAAAAACGAATACATACAATTCAGAGATTACTCTATTAAATTATATTTTCAAAATAATTTCTAATTTTCCTAAACAATTAAGTAACCCTTTAAATGCACTTAGCATTAGGTTCTCCCGCCTTCACTTAAAAATTCTGCTCGTATTTGATAATGAATCCTAAATACGCCGCTTATATTTGCTAACGATTTCTCCCGCGTTCTCTCAGAAATTCCGCTTGCACTTTCTAACGAATTTCTACTTCTCCCGCATTCTCTCAGAAATTCCGCTTGGACTTTCTAACGAATTTCTACTTCTCCCGCATTCTCTCAGAAATTCCGCTTGGACTTTCTAACGAATTTCTACTTCTCCCGCGTTCTCTCAGAAATTCCGCTTGCACTTTCTAACGAATTTCTACTTCTCCCGCGTTCTCTCAGAAATTCCGCTTGCACTTTCTAACGAATTTCTACTTCTCCCGCGTTCTCTCAGAAATTCCGCTTGCACTTTCTAGCAAATTTCTACTTCTCCCGCGTTCTCTCAGAAATTCCGCTTGCACTTTCTAACGAATTTCTACTTCTCCCGCATTCTCTCAGAAATTCCGCTTGCACTTTCTAACGAATTTCTACTTCTCCCGCGTTCTCTCAGAAATTCCGCTTGCACTTTCTAGCAAATTTCTACTTCCCCCGCGTTCTCTCAAAAACATCGCCTTAGTACTGCTGTGTCCCACCGCAAACCTCGAAACTTCACACAGAGCAAAACATCTAATTGGTCCAATCCGCTTTATTGAGCCAAGAAAACGTGCACTTTATAAAGTTGATGAGGTTAGAGGTTTAGAGTGTGAGAGAAGTGATGAAACAGTGCGGAATAGAGAAATAGAGGAAAGGTTGTATATCGGATGGAAAATTATTAAACCCACCTTATTGGTGGTGATTGTTCCATTCTTCTCGGGAAAGTTGGTACGAGGTGGTTGGTCGGTACTCTGTGGTTTTCATCTGAGGTTTTTCTTTTTTTCTTCTTCTCACTGTTCTTTGACAGGGATCGATCTATGAATTTGTGATTTTATGTTTCCTTTCTCTTTGTATTAAAACAGTCCTCTTTTTTGTTTTGTTTAACAGTTTCTATAATTTACTATTCATTTTTTACTCTATCTTTTTCGTCATTTGGAATTCAGTTGAGCGTATTTTTGCGTCCTTTCTCAGACATCACTAGGTGGAGTTAAATCTCAGATTTCGATATGTTCATTTGAATTCTTGAGGATGAGTTGATTGTAAGTTTAAAATTAAGTTTGATATGCATAAACATCCCAGTTCATGTACTTGTGAAAGTTCTCATCAGGAAAAAGTTGATGAATTTCATGAATCTTCATATTTTATTTTTAAAATTCATTAACTTTTATTGTTAAAATTTACAAATTTTCTTCACTTCTCACATTTTTCTGACATTCATAACACTAACAATTATCAACACTCTTGATTTAAAAAATTGTTCATATTTGAAATGAAGCCATACATTATGGTGTCTCTTTTCTCATCATTCTATGCTTCTAGTAGAGATTTTTTTAATTGGATCAAATGTTTACTTAATTCTTTTCTTTCTACTGTTTTTAAATACGCAGCAAATTTTCAGATTTTATTCAGCAATTACGTACATTGAGGGACTGGAACTAATATGAGTAATCAAGCAGAAACATTGATTTGAGCATTCGATTTTGTGGATTTCCCAAGTTCGTCCGACAAGGATTGAAATGAATATCGGTTAAAGTTTTAAAATGTCATTTTAATATCAGTTGTAGTGGACTTGCACGGAGTTCAACTGCTATTTATTGTCAAAATTTTTATTTTCATCCTCTTGTGTCTTTCACCGTGTTGCATGAAGTTATTGAATTGTGTCGTCACTTATGTTTTAATAAATGATTAGGTCTGCATATTATTCTTTCATCACCATAGCTTTCTTTGAGACTGTTTTTGTGCTTGCAGTGGATACGCTAAATGAACCGTGCGCTGTTTGTGGCGATAAATCAACTGGAACACATTATGGAGTGCTTTCATGTAATGGATGCAAAGTATAGTTTTATTATTTCCTTAATTTTTTCCTGAATTCTTTGTTGTTTCCTTGTTTCTCAAACGTTTCGTTGTATTGTATGGCACAACACATTTTTTTCTAATATCAGAGGTGTTTTGATCCCTCTATATTTCGTCCAGCATCGACGGGAATGAGGGATTGAAAATCAGTTTTACTATTATTAGTCCTCTAAGAAGAGTTATTTAAGATAGAAAATTGGTGACATATGTTTTCTTAATTGAAATGAATATTAGTTAAGAATACTATTAAATTGTTTTTCAAGGGGTTTTTCCGACGAACAATCCTCAAAAACCAAAAATTCACGTGTCGTTTCAACAAAGCGTGCACAATCAACAAGAATTTCCGATGCGCTTGTCGATACTGTCGTTTTCAGAAGTGTGTACGAGTTGGGATGAAGCGCGAAGGTGACATCAAATGATACTCGGCAACTTGATGTTATTAATTGTTTAAACATGTTGTGCTTTAAAGTGAAAATGGGTTTTTAGAAGGATTGTGATGAGTTTAAGATGTTTTGTAATGAGAAAATGTGCAATCGAAGGCTTTAGCGGAAAAATTTGTTCTGGCTAAAATTATAACTAAATGTTTAATGTATTGAGATCTTAATGTGAACTAGATTCCAAATTAAGTCCTTTTGTAGCAATTCAGTTTGAACGCGATTCGATTGGTCCCATTAAGCGTCACAGTGAACCAATAGTATTACGAACAGTCGAAAGCAATGGAACGGAAAACGACAATTCCGAAACAGCGTTCTGCAATAGTCGTCTGATCAATGACACCTTGAAGATGGATGTTATCGAAACATTAATGCAAATGGAGGCAAGAACCAATCAGGAAATGACGACTCATCAAAATTTGGTGATCAGTTCGTCATTTGCAATCAGCAATCGTCTGAATGAAAGTAGTTGTGCATCATCGGATTTTTCACAGTCACACAAATCGTGTTCAACTGAAGATTTGAATGAATTACCTAGAACAACGTTGGTATTAATGGTTTGTTTTCGTGATTAAAAAAAAGTCTCCTAATAATGAAATATTTGAAACAATATAAAAGTGGGAGAAAAACAAACAAGAAAGCACGATTAATTGGCTTTTTATGTGTTTTATGTTCATAATAATGATTACACAAATTGTTTTATTTAAACAGCGTTCTCTGCAAAACTTCATTCATTTCAAATATTAGTGTAACCATCATTAAGCTTTTCAATTTTAATGCAGAAAATTTCTCACAAAAACCATTATAAAATTGTTACCGGTTAATTTTTCAGTAGATACAGTAGATTTTTTAGTAGATTTCAGTAGTAGATTTTCAGTAGATATTGAAAAACATGATTTTAGTTTATTTCATCCTAAACTATTGTTTTATTTATCTATCTATGTTGTAAGGAATCGATCGATGTAGTCTTGTTTTTCTATATTAGGAAATATTTTTGAGATGTTTTCGTTTTCTTAAAAATATTTCCAGCCATTTACTGCATACCACACTTTTGATTAGTCAAACAACCACCCTATTTTTGAAACTATTTGAAAAACTGGATGGTTATTTCCAGATTGTCTGTTCCAGGTTGATTGGGCAAAAGGTTTGGAACCATTCCCAGGCTTGATTATCGATGACAAAATTATTTTGCTTAAAAACTATGCGCCTCAGCATTTGATTCTAGTACCGGCGTTTCGTTCACCAGACACGATTGGCACTTGCCTTTTCAATAATGCAGATGTAAATTGCGACGGGGGCATCAAATTTGGCGGTTTGTTTTTGCTACGAACCATTAATTAATCAGTATTCCAGTAAAATATATGCATGGTTAATAGAGTCTGGATATGCATGTCCTGCACTGGATTTGCATGTCCTTCGTTATTTTCACTAGGTACATTTGTTATGTGGCATGCTTAATGGTTTAGATGCAACTTGGCATGCCTAATGTTTGCTATTGGGTTAGGTCCTATCAATGCAAGCTGCAGGTATTTATAAAGTATTTACATTACATTTCTGTAATGGATTTTACAATTTTTTGATTTTTTATGAATTCTAGAAGTATAGAAACATTTTGATAGGTTTATCGGCATTCAAAACAAGCAACATTATGCCACGTGTAATGGACGAAATAGTATGGCCAATGAGACATTTGCAAATGAGAGAAGAGGAATTTGTGTGCCTAAAAGCTTTGGCTTTTCTTCATCCTGAGGCCAAAGGACTTTCTGTACCAGCTCAAACGGTCGTTTTATTTATTCACGTTCAGTAAAATAAGTGGTAAAGTACAGCACTTTATTGTCATTAAATATAATTAGTCGCAATTTCAAATAATTATAAATACAAGAATTTTTTTGGAAGGAAAAAAAGTAGACACTGCAATTCAGCATAAATATTGCTAATTTAATAAGTATATCCTTTTTTCATATAATTATATGGATGTATAAATGTTAATTAGTTGTCTTATTAGGATTCTGCTATAATAGTGAAATGTTCAGTTATTTATAATAAAAAATGCTGTAATTACAATAGAACTTTGCAAAAAAAAAAAAAAAAAAAGATTTGTATTAATATATATTAGTAATATAGATATAAAGACTGTAGAGATGTGGTGTTTGAAATAAGAAATTTTCCGATACAATACTCGAAAACGTGTTTTCGAGGCATCAGTCGGTAGGTAGTCGAGGTTTTGAACTCTTGAGAAATGGGAATTCATTCGAAGATTGTAAATAATTTGGATCGTTCAAACCTAAAATTGTAGGTTATATCAAAAATATTTAATCAAGGTGGGAATCAGCTAAACATCAAGATAAATGATTGAAATGTATCA